GTGCCCCGGTGCTGTGTCCCTGTGCCCGCAGTGCCCCGGTGCTGTGTCCCCTGTGCCCGCAGTACCCCGGTGCTGTGTCCCGCAGTGCCCCGGTGCTGTGTGCCCTGTGCCCGCAGTGCCCCGGTGCTGTGTCCCCTGTGCCCGCAGTGCCCCGGTGCTGTGTCCTGCATTGCCCCGGTGCTGTGTCCCCTGTGCCCGCTGTCCCTGAGCGTGCTGTGTGTGTGTTTGTGTTTTGCAGGAGCTCAATGTCCGTGTGCTGACGCTGTCTGCAGACAAGGCCCGSTACGGCGTGCGGCTGCGGGCCGAGCCTGAGCACACCGTGCTGGGCCGGCGCCTCAAGGGTGCCTTCAAGGGCGTCATGGCTGCCATCAAGGAGCTGAGCAGCGAGCAGCTGGAGAGGTTCCAGGAGACAGGTCTGGATGGGGACAAACTGCTCAAGGGTGGCACGCTGTCCTGCTGTGGGCTTTGGGAGCTTAAGGCCTGCTTCCCTCCTATCCCTGTCCAGTTGTTATGAGGAGAAAATCTGAGTTTATTACTTCCATTATTTTTCTGACAGTATGTTAGAAACGGCCTTGTACACTGAACTTAAACTGTTCTGTTAAACGGTTTCTTCCTGTTAGAGGAGGGTCAGGTGGGATAYCAGGCCAAGGTTCTCCTGTCCCCAGAGGGTGCTGGCACTGCCCAGGCTCCCCAGGSAATGGTSCCAGAGCTCCAGGAGCGTTTGGACAGCRCTGYCAGGGAYGCACAGGGTGGGGTTTTTGGGGARTCTRTGCAGGAGCTGGATGCAATGRTCCCTGTGAGTCCCTTCCACTCWGGATGCTCTAYGATTTTTAAGKGCTGCTGTAAGGCTAAGATGAAGCAGAGAATAAAACTTTCCATGTGCCTGAATCAGATTGGAACTGAGTATTTGTGCAGTAGCTTTTATTCTAAAAGCATTCCTTCAATTCCRGAGTTACAAGTGGGTGTGAATTTTGCAGCTATATCTGTTTAGTTAACTGCTTAAATGGAAATTTGGAGTTGGTGGAGTATACAGGTTATTTTAAAGTTTTATTCCATTCAGATGGTTCCACACAAACAGTTGCTGAAGCGCCTGTTTTAGTGAGCTCTGCTGCCTGGAGAAATGCTTGTGTGAGAAATGGGAATGTGGGATAATTCAGTGCTGCTGCCTAGTGTTTAACTGCTGTTGGGCTGCATTGCCAATATTCGCATTGCACGTGTTTGACGTYTGATACTTGGTTAAAGCTTTCTGAATTTCAAATTGGGGTTTTTGCTTGTGTGGTAAGAGATGCTCTCCATCTGCCAACCCTGCAGGCAGCATTGTTGTGGAAGGACATGAACTCCATGGGGAGGATCTCCGTCTCATGTATCAGATGACAGAGGGATCTGCCCAGTTCGAGGCACACTCCGATGCTCAGGTATTTTTTGGCCATTTCCTCTGTTTTTTTGATTAAGGGAAGAGTTTGTCTGGAAGCAATAGGAAAATGGTGACGTGAAAGCAGGGTTGGATTTGTTAGCTCAGCGTGTTACAGGACTGTGTGAATCCTAGARCTGTTCCATATTCTCTCCCCATCAGATTTTGTACGTGAAGAGCTCTCTAAAAGCATCCTGAGCTCCTGAGAKTGTTACTTCTTCCTTGTTTCCAGTTTTTCACCTCTTCATCCATGTTCTGTGCATTTGCTCAGGTTTTGGTGCTGCTGGATGTAACCCCAGACCAGTCCATGGTGGATGAAGGAGTTGCCCGGGAGGTGATCAATCGCATCCAGAAGCTGCGCAAGAAGGTGAGGATTCAGTGTTTTGGGACATTTTCATTTCCTTTTCAGCAATCTGGGCAACATGCAGCAGAAACTGCATTTTTGATTAAAYATGAAGCCCTGTAATCACTTACTCCTCATGTGTGGCTTTCTGATTGGATTTCCTTGCAAGAGCTCTAAAGAATGGGTAGAGAAACTTTTCGTGGGACATATTAATTTGGAAAAGATATCTGAGCAGTTAAGGCTGCATAAGTCACAGATTCATAGAAAAATCTGGGTTGGATAGGACCTTTCTTCAGCATAAGATTGAAAAACGACAAATTTGTACCAAAATAGCTATTTTTTTTATTATATATGTTGAGGAAAACCCCTTTGTAGATGATATGTATGTGTGTATATGTTCACACACAGGATTTCTCTTATTACAAAAAAAAATTTTARAAAAAGTATGTATGCACGTACATGCACCTGTGTAGATTTATGTATAGTAATGTTTTCTCCATATATAAAACTTAGAGGGATTTATTTCTGTATAAAATATAACCAGGAAGGAATGTGGCCATGAAAACTCTCCCATGTGTTACTGGATRATTTAAATTTAGTTCTGTAATGACATAAGGCTGTAATTCATTTTCACTTCAATGCATATCAAAATACTGAATCTTGCCCAAACTCCCATGTTTCAAGATTCTTGWTTTTTTTCTAAATATTTTGTGTAAATGTTTAACAAATGCTTGATAAATGTTTTTTTTTTTTTTTAAATGTAACAAGTCGTGCTGTGTTGGTTTGTGACGTTKCTGTCAGTAACGGTGTCTGTGTCCTGCAGAGGAACCTGGTCCCYACGGATGAGATCACAGTGTACTACAGGTCCCTGCCACAGGGGGAATACCTGGACACCGTCATCCAGGAGCACTCCGAGTTCATCTTTGCCACCATCAAAGCAGACCTGAAGCCTTACCCGGTGCCTACCTCAAAGGAAGTGCTCATCCAGGAAAAAACCCAAGTAAGGAGGAAAACCACTGACTCCTTAATTCCCTTGTTATCTGCTTTTAACCCAACAAACTGCYCCAATTACAGAAAAATTGAGTCAATATTTATTTGTGGGATAGAGCAGATATTGTTTTCTATTTATAGCTCTCTGTATTAGTCTTTTTTGGTTTATAAAAGAAAAGAGTTGGGCTCTGTATGTGTGGTGTTTATGACAATGAAGCTGCTTGGATACCAAAGTAAATAAATGAGGCAGTTGTTTGTGTAAACTCAATACACAGTGATTTGTACTTGGATTAGTGCATTGTTTAAACAGCCAAAATATTGTTGCTCTGATTTTTTTAGATTAATAGACTTTTGTATTGGAACTGTCCTTCGAGGCTAAATTTGGCTAAAGACTAACTTGTTTAATATTTAAGAATGTTTTTTTCCCTGCTCTGTATTGCTGAAGTGGTTCTTTGTAAAAGTGTAGTTTCACAGAGACTTCAAATCTGATTGTTCAAATCAACAGCAATTTCTGTTGTTTTCTTTGATTGCTTCTTCTGACAAATCTGATGATAGTTTAGCCATGGTTTTAGTCAAACTTACTCTATTTAAAAGACATTCCTACCACAACTGTGGATGAACTTTCTTCAGTATAAATGTGGACCACAAAGACAAGAGTGTAGGTTTTATCAAAATTGAAATTTGATTTACGGAATGGCTGAGAAGGCAGGGAATAGCTGAAAGGAAAGGGCACATTACATCCATCTTATTAATATGTGTAACAGAAATGTTTTATAGTTATTTATGGCACTGAGGTTGTRGAGATTTGAAACAAAGCCCTGTTTGGCCTTTTCCAAAACTATCAGTTTAATCTAGTGACAAACATGAGGGAAACACTACACAAATATTTAGTGTTTGAGAAATCAGTGAAAATACTGAGCTGTTTCTTCTGAGTACTTATTTGATACTTCTGATGGACAATTTGATGTAAAGTCAACATCAGATCTGAATTGGAATRTAAAAGCAGCTGGAAATTCAGTGCTGGGAAGCACCTGACTGCCTGTCTCCAGTCAGCTGTACCTGAGCTKTAGTGCTGGTCACTGTGGCTTTCCATGAAAGCTTTCATGCCTGTGCAAGGTATGGTTCCCCCACACTCTTATTGCAGTYTTCACTCAAATACCCTAAATTAGGATTTAGGAAAGACCCCAAAGAACCTCCCTGTGGAGTCACTCTGCTGCCTGCTGCACTCCCCTTGCTGTGCTTGTGGCTCGATGAGCCTCTGAACTGTTTGTCACACATTTAGATTTCAAATTAGGTGTTGCAGAGAGAAGCAGAGCACTGAGATTTTAGTGCAGTTGTCAAGTGCTCCTTGGAAGTCTCTCTTGCTGGCCCTGCAGAGATGGATTGCTTAGGGCAGTGCTTGACTCTGTGTTCTGCTGCAAATGCTTTGTCACGTTGAGARCAGTGACATGAGAAAGGCCTTCTTGAGAAATCCTTCCATGGGAGTGTGGAAGTTAARTCAGCTCTGACAGGATCACTGCACCAAATTTCTGGAAGTTATTCAGAGGAGTAACAGGAATCTGCTTGATGTTGAATATATGTGAGGACTGGAACAAAAATGAAATATCTGTCCTTTCTGCCTGACTTATGATTACATTCAAACCATTGAAATTATCCTGGATCAATTTTTGATACAAGGCCTTAATTCTGAGCTCGTTTCCCAAAGACTTACTCCAAGCTACAACRAAAAAAAACCAAACATGTTCTCAGCAACTATTGGGATAGGAAAGCAGACACTTGAGAAATGAATTYTGAATTGTTGATAGAATGGACAGAATCACAAAATGGGATCTGTTGCTCCATAAATGTTTGTCCTTAGTTCAGTAAAGAGTGGCACTTCCAAGTTTGTCTGTCACCATTTGGGCTGTGCCTCTTGCCAAAGTCCATCTCTAAATTTATAAACCAAAATGGCTGAAGGAAGATAAGGAGAAAATTGCTGTTTCATGTTAAATCACATTTAGTATAACCAGGTGAGATCATAGTGTTGTTTATTGAAGGCAAATACTTCTTTGTGTTTGTTTAATCAAAGARTATTGAAATAATGATGGTATCTCTTTCCCCAGCTGAAGGGATCAGAGCTGGAAATCACCCTGGTCAGAGGGGGAGTGTGTCAGTCTGCTGGCCCAGCCTGTGCCTACGTCAACCTCAAAGTCTGTGTCAATGGCACAGAGCAAGGTAGGAATGAGTGTCCCAGCTTTGTAGGGGTGCTGTAAGGGAGAGTTTGGAAAAAATGTGGTGAATGCTGGAGCACCAGTTCATTGGGAAGATGGTGCAAGCTCTCCTCCAACAGGAGTTTGCAATAATTCTTGAAAGTAAATTAACTCAAAGCAAAACCACTGTTGTCCATGGTTTCTTCTGAGGGGAGCACTCAGGTGTGCACAGGAGCTGTTACTCCTGTTCTRCAGAGGGTTTGTATGTGAATGTCTCTGGGGGTTGCCCTTTCTGGATTTGTAATTCCTGCTCTAACACTGCACAGTTGATCAGGCCTGAGTGTGGAGATGGTTTGAAAAGTTCACATATGAAGTACAGAGATGAAAAGAATACATAAAGTAGAGAAYAGAATCAACTGTCTCTTGGGCAATGGACATGAGGGTGGTGATGTTGTTACAAGGGTTAGTTATATATTAAAAAGAAGCAAAACTAAAAGGAGTCAGGGAGTTTTTTTCCTACATGTGCTGACAGTTTATGTAAGGCAGTAAATGTGCSTTGTTGAACATGGTCACAGAGCTCTCCCTGAGTGAGGATGAATCCAGCTGGAAAAGCTGGTGACCATCTCAGAGGGCACAATTTGTCACCTTTCAACCCATATAATACTGCCTTATACTTCAGTCACATACAAATGGGACTGCTTGTTAATAAAAGCAAATGCAACTTCTGCACTATAAATCTGAAGTACATATTGGTCCATTTCCTTTTTTTTTTCCCACTAAAAATTTTTTGGGAAGATGCAGTGTTGCCAGTTTTAAATTGGCTTAGGAACTCACTGGAAGTAATTACTGTCATTAGAAAGTCATTAGAATTTGGGTATTGCTTCCAAACTGCATTTTAATTTCTTAATTTTGTTTTAGATGGTGTATTGCTGCTGGAAAATCCAAAAGGAGATAATACCTTGAACTTCACTGGACTTGTAGATGCTGTCTCCTGCATTTTTGGTCTTAAAAATTCCAAACTGACAGTTTTTAATGGAAACACAGGTAAATGGAGTATGACAAGGAAAATTGAAAGTCTTTCTAGCAGCAGCTAGGAGTCATTTACTGTATAATTATTTACTGGGTAATTTATATCTATCTATCTAGCTTATATAAAATTGACAAGAAAATGGGTAAGGAAATATTCCATTTTATAGTACTTAGCTTATGAGGCTGTGTTTACAGTCACATCAACATGTTTCCAAAAGCTGCTGCTAAATGGGGCTCATCTGTTATCTTGCTTCCATTGCAGTTCTCATCAGGACAAAATGTGATTTATTTCAGTGTTTCCATTGGGCCTGGGCTATGCTGKGTCTCGATGGCGAGCTGCCATCAGCCTTTCCATGCTTGCTTTTCCCTAATGCCTCAGTAGGCAGGGTGAGAACATCAGCTGAATGCAAACTGTGATCTGGAGGAGAAAAATGTTGCTTTTCCACCCTRGAGAACCTTGAGGATCTCTGCATATCTTCTTTTTTAGAAAAACCTATTGAATATTTTTGCAGCTTGAACTTTGGAACCATATGGAAATTCCTTTGGCAAGATCAGATTATCAAATTGGCTTTTGTTGCAGTTTGTCARAGACCTCAGAATAGTATTGATGAACAGAGAATGTGACTCTCTAGGGGGTTAGAGTTCAGGGCATGTGTAAGGAAAATAATCCTGAAAGGTGTCAGAGGATAGAATGGGAATCCCCAATGCTTGCTCTGGGTCCAATCCACCTGCTTTATCTGCCCAGCCTTTGTGTGGATAATCTCAGGTGAGTCCAGCTGGTGATTCCAGGGCCTGGGGGTGAGCAGGGCTTGGAATCAGCTGCTGTGTCCAAGAGGAATKGCAGAGAAAGGTGCTGCACTGTGGAGAAGTCATTTCTGAATTGTTTCCATGTTTGTTAATAAAATTGGGAGCCAGTAAAACCCTATTTCTGGCTCCTTATTCCCTTCCTGTGTTTTCTAGGCTGTCCACTTTGCTTGCAGTAATTGATTATCTTGTTTTCTAATTGTGATGAAGGTTTCCTTGGGGTTGTGCAGTGGAACAGGATCAGGCAGTTCTTGTATTAAGGGAGGCTCAGATGGGTCCTGTCCCTGCTTTTCAGTGCAGCATTGGAATAATGGGATAARCATTTCCTCCCCAGCAGCTTGTTGAGGTATTTTGAGGAACTGCAAATMCCYAAACAAGGTTTTGAGACTTGTACTGACCTTCAGAAACTGAGAATAGAATTTGTTTCTCTCTACATGGAAAAAAAAGAAGTAATTGCAAGGAAGAGAGTGGGCTCTACCAGTCAGATGGTAAAAAAAAAGTTGTGTGTGACTTTTTTTTTCTGAAGATTGCTGAAAGCTCTAAACTTCTTGTTGGAGATGCTTGTAAACTTGCACTCAGCATTCATGGCAGTAGCCCATATTGTAAAATACCTATTTAAAACAATTTGTTTATGGGAAGAAATGCATCTGTTAATCATGTAGGACTTAAAAAGTGGGGGGGAAGGGAAGGTGGGACAAAAACCCCCTACAAACTTCTTGATGCATGTCTCTTTTCATCTTCATGATTTTCAGATGGCTGATTTTTAATCTTTCATTTTTGAAAGGCTGTGAGGCTGTAAGGTACTTTAGGAGAGCATTACCACTTAAATCCCAGCTGCAGGGTGAACTGACTATTATGGTGATTTTGATGAGCACTGCTAATACCTGCTTGCCTTCAAGTCCATTGTTACATATGAAAAAAATGATCTTTTTTCTGTTCCTTGCTGTTATCAGAGAGCTCTGTGAACAGACTCCTCTGACAGCACTGTGCAYGAGCACTTCCCAGGAAAACATCAGTGGTCCTGGAATGCCAAAGGTTAATTTATTAATTGGGCAAGCCCCCATTACTGCAGCTCGTGCCCCCTTGCCCTGCATGGATCCACAGGGATCCTGCCAGCTGGGGAATGGCAAACTGGGAGTTACTGGGGCCAAGTGTTTCCAGCTCTGGGAGCCCCCAGTGCTCTCTCTGTCTCCTGAAATTGTCTGGTTTACGGCTGTGCTGGGAAAAACCTGCTCCTGGCTCTCTTCCATAGGATGAATTCTTGGTAATTCCTCTCCACTTGTTAATTCAGTTGTGTTTTGCTTTCCTGGAAATAAAAGCAAAAGGAAATCCCCTTCCTGTGCTTCAGCAGGTGCCTGGCACCTCAGGCCAGAGCTGTTTGGCTTTTGGTTTCTTTTATTTCTTTAAACTGTTATAAATTTATATACARTTATATAAAAGTTGATATTTAAAATAGACATTTTAGAATCTTAGGTGCAACCTGAAGTCTTTGAGCTTTCTCTTGTAAACCCTGCATCACAATCTGTTCTCTGGCACTTGGCAGAATTTTGAGAGCGTGTAGCTTGTGGTTACTGTTCACCTTTTGGGGGGTTTATGTTTTTTTAAAGTTTGGGGGTTTTTTTGTGAGTGGTTGGTTTAGGTTTTTTTTTTTTATTTCTAAGTTTATAAACTTAAGAAATGTATAAATTTATAAATCACTCCCATCTGAAATTCATTCAGATGAACTGATAAGACAACAAGCTTTGTACAGCCTGGGCTGGGTGACACAGGCATAGGGCTGCTGTAGAATGAAACCTGTAGGGTGGAGACCATGTGAGCCTGTGCCATATGGACAGGAACACACTGGTCTGACAAGAAATGGAATGCATCACTTCTCCCTGGGTTTGCTCTCTGCAGTTCTTTGCAGCAGTTTGATTTTTGCAGTTACTCCTGTGCATCTCCAGTGCTGTGCCCATCAGTGGCTGTGTTTGASCTCAAGGCTCAGGCTGTGCTGCAGAGCTCATTTTTGTCACAGACACCCCTCAGCTTCTCCTCCCCGTGCTTGCAGTGATTGCCTCTGATGACCTTGGAGCAGAGCTCATGGTTTGGGTCTGCTCTGCCCCCATTTCTCCATCTGCCTGCAGTTGTGCAGGGTCATGAGCTGTGGTGGCATTACACAGTCACACGGGGAGCTTTATTCATGAGCCATGACTGCAGTTTCTCTGGTTTGTTTTTCCTGGAGTTTAATATATTTAATATTAATAAATATCCTGATGTTGCATAGTAACACATTCCCAGTGCTGCTTTGGCTGGGGGAGTCTGGGTGCAGGCAAAGATCACAGCTCTCCATGTAATGAGACAGGAATGGTTGGCTTGGGTGAATGATTTCTTGTTTGTTTGAAGTTWGCTGTTTTTATTAAATAAATGATTTTGTGCATAGGAAGTGTTATATAGGAGCTAATTTCCACAGCATGCTTTGTGTTATTATGAAAAGCAAATATTTCTGCACAAATTCCATTTTCCCAAGGGAGAAATGCTCTTTCCTGAGGGGGGACTTGTGAAAGGAGGAGACTCTGGCGCAGGGTCAGCTGGTGCTGCTGGGATGGCCTGASCCGTGTTCCTCTCTCTCTGTTCTGTTGCAGAGCTGCTGAAGCAGACAGACCTGCTGGGGCTCAGTGGGCAGACTCTGCATGTGACAGCAGGGCCAGCCCCAGCCCTGGCCAGCTCCCCCAGTGCCCTGCTGTGCCAGTACATCAACCTGCAGCTGCTCAATGCCCAGCCACAAGGTACGTGGCCTCTGAGCTGCTCCTGCAGGCAGCTTTTGGCCTTTTCCACTTGCTGCTGCAGAGAAGTATGTTGGTTTTCGTTGATTCCTGGTGATTTGGTTCTCTTTTTCTCTAGTATGTGCTTTTGATAAAAACCATGTTTATACTTAGCTTTTCTCCCTCTTCTCCTAAGAGAAAAAGGAGAAGCAGTTTGAGATAAGAGGCAGCAGTTAAACAGGAGCCCCTGGGCATCGTTTCCCTGTTTCTGACCATCAGCTCMCCTGTGCAGCTCATTGTACAAGGCTGAGTGTAAACCAGACCAAAACTGGGTGAAGAGCCAGCCCTTCACCAGGACATTGGAAACAGCCTGTGAAACGTTCCATTTAAAAGCCAAATGAATTGTGTTATTAACCTGATCTGGGSTATAGATATGGGTGTGTGTAATTCTGTTTCCCAGCTGCTAATCTGGCACGCTGAAAGCTCTCRTGGGAGCAGCTCAGTTGTTTTAATAACTTGTTCATATTCTTTGCCCTGCTATGAGCCCTTTCTGAGAGCTTGCAGGAGCCAAAAATGTGATTTTTACCAGGATTTGATCATCAGTAGGTGCTTGGTGAGCTTCTGCACACAGCAGTTTGTATCTCTCTTGAAATATTTCATGTTTCCCAAACTCTGTGTTATTCTGTTCACCCATGTAAAGAATTCTGYAAAGTTTTCTTCTGTTGGTCAAGCTGTTAGTCCCCTTATATTTCTGACTATAATTCATGACCTTAGTGAATATCTGTAGGTTGGTATTGCTAGTTTCTCTCCCAGTACCGTGAAGAAATAAGAGATGAAATGGAAGAAGAAATCCTAAATTTCAATTTACCCAGATAAATGAAATTATTTTATTTCTCACCAGTAGTGACTCAGCTGTTTTATCTTGTCCAGAATGCCAGAAAGGAACAGTGGGAACTCTCCTAATGGAAAACCCTGTTGGTCAGAATGGATTAACCTACAAAGGTCTTCTGCATGAAACAGCAAAAGTTTTTGGGCTCAGAAGCAGGAGGCTAAAGTTGTTCCTGGATGAAGCACTAACTCATGGTAAGCACAAACCTTGGCTTTGGTCATCTGAGAATATTTGGAGGTTTTTGTTGAGGACCTGCTCATGTAACCTGAGATCCAATTTAATTACTAAATCCACACTATTCACACACTGGTTTATAATTTTGCCCAGTAATTCAATATTAACATAATAAAATCCTTTAAGCATACATACACATTTAGAAATTCAAAGCTGTAATGCATTCCCTTCATGAAATGGCCAGGCCAAGTTGTGCAAAAGCTTTTTCCTTCTGCAGTGAAGGTCAGTCAGTGGTGGGAATGGCAGTGCCCTGCTGGGTGACTGAGCAGTGGATCTCATCCTGGGAGTCACTGAGTCTACAGCAGGAATATTTTAAGAACCTTTAAGATTGTTCTTGAAACATTCTTATTACTGCATTGTCTTGGACAATTGGGGTGGGTGGAAAGGAGAATTGGATCTCTGTTAGAGCAGTGTGAGCAGGTCAGACTCAGTAGGGCACAGYCTTTTGGGATACCTGGGAAGCTGAGAGCTTCAGCACATTCTCACAGTCTGAAATGCTAAAGAATCCCCCAAAAGCACTGACAGATGGGGAGGCTGGAAAACAAAAATCTCTGATTCATGAGGAAAGTGTGACTGAAGCTGGAGCCACCTGTGGTGCTGAAAAATTGGACCAGAGGGATTTGGGACTTGATTTGACAGAGAGAATGGATTGAAACTACATGGTAAAACCCCAAACAAATCAAACTGGGATTCCTGTGTTCAGGAGAATTCAGCTCTTGGGGTGAAATGCTGACAAGTGTTCTRTGTGCAGTGTGTCACAGGGATGTGGCTTTTTGGGAGGGATCTGGGACATTTATTGCCTTGGCACATGTTACCTGTCCAGAAGGTGGACATTGTGCTCCAAAGGGCCAGCTTTGGGTGGGCTGAGCTTCCTCAGGAGGTGCAGTCAGAGGGGAAGGCAGGAGGGAACAGCTCCAGTGCAGCTTTTGGGAGCTGGGATCACTCCCCTGTCCACAGGGATTCAGGTGGGATAGGCTGGAATCTGAGCAAGGAGGTGTGGGCGTTTTTTGTTGGGGATTTTTGGCTGTTTGGTTGTTGTTTTTTTTTTTTTAATTTTTACTTCATATGACCTGAAATGTGTTTATTCAAAAACCATTTTTGTAACTCAAGTAGATCTCAGATGTTGATGAAACTTTCTAGTGATAGTTTGAGTGAATGCCAAAAAAGAAGTGCAGAGTGGTTTTAACAGAGGACTGGAGCCTGGAGTGTTTGAGCACGCAGGGTAAGARCCAAGCAGATCAACCTCGCTTGGTTTGCATAAACCTGAAGGTATTTCTGTGTGCAGCCTTTGTGCCTGGGGATGCAGGGATTCAGCCCCTTAGGAACAAGTGATGTTAGACAGTTCCCCTGTGCTTCCTGTCACTGGTACGGGGTGATTCCATTCAGACACTGAAATAACCACTGTRGGAAATGGCAGAGCTTTGAAAGGGGCAAGGAACTGACAGCACAGGAAAATATCCTTTAAGACTCAGTTGAAGGGAGGATTTGTAAAATGCCTTAACCTGGAAGAGAGGAATGGGTTAAAGCACTGTAACATTTGTACTATGGATTCTCCAGAACTATTTAATTAAAGTGTATAAAGTGACAGTTGACAGTGATGTGAAAGATTGGATTTGATAACTCTTCCAAGGCCAAAACAACTGATTTGGTCTCTTTTAGTCTCCAAACACAGAGAGCTTGGTCCCAGAGATTTATTTGTGCAGCTTATGCCTTGTGGCCACACTTCTGCTATCTCATTTAATTCTCAGCATTCACAACCCTTAATAACATTTTTTGAGTTCTAACACTGACATAGTTGTATTTTATCGTTACATCTCTTTGTGTGATAAATAAATGCTGCATATAAAACACTCTGATGCCTCTAGAAAACATAAGGTCAATTAATGTTTATCTGTATTGTTGCAGCTTTGTAATCCCCCATTCATCTTCTGATCAATCTCTTCAAGGTTTTACCTTCAAAACAACATAGTTCAGTCTCTTGAGTAGGTTTTTTGTGATTTGTTCTAAAAATAAAAATGTATTTGCTGTTAACTGTTTGAAACGTTTGATGGAAATAACCCATGAATTGGAAGGTTGGTGCCTGTTCTATRAAAAGGAAAAACAATCACTCGGTGGAAAATGAGTTATTGGTTTTGAAAAGGTTATTTTTATAAAYGTTGTCGGTCCAGGCAGTTGGGCATCTGCTGTCCATTGCACAGAAACTCCCTGGCTTTTCAGAAACAAACATGATTTTCACTCCCCCTTTGGAATGTTGGAAAACATTCCATAAATAAGTGTCCAAGTGGTGAGTGTTGCTTATCCCTGAGCTGGAGAGACACAAATTCCAGGTACCTGATGGATCCATGCTGGGGATGATGGGGACACTTCTCGTGCTCCCTGCAAAGCCTTTCCATGGAGGAATTGGCACGGAAAGGAGGGAGTCCCTGTGGTTTGCTGATAAATGAAATTTCCAGTTTTTAAAACTAATTGTTGTGAGAAGTRCTGTTGAAAATAGTAGGTTCATGTAAGTTCCTCATTTTTCAGGTTCTTAAAAATAAATATTTAATAAGARGCTTGGAGACCAAGCTCAAAGTTTGTTTGGCTGCTTCTGCAGACCAGACTTTTTTACATGCTGATGGAATGTTCCTGGGAAGGAAGGTTAGTGAGGGAAGAAAGCCCTGATTGCTGAATTGGATTATAGCTCTGCTCTTTCAGTGCTCTGCATGGGTATTCAGCTGCTTCAAGAGGAGTATTACAGAGGAAAAGAACTCCTGAAAAACAGGATCATCATGATCCATGAGGACTTGTCAGTTCTCTGATTTACAGGTGSCTTTAAACATCAGTGCAGATGCCGTGTGTTTAGTCTAAAAACGAATACTTTTTGAAGCAATATGGGGCAGGGCACTGCAAAAGTGGTCCTGCTGGAAACCCCAAGCCAGTCTGGGTGTTATTTATGTGTCTTTTGTGCTAAAATCTTTCTGTTATCTTGTATTTGCTCATTGTCTGGAGGGGCTCTGGGGTGCAGAGTGGCCCTGTGACCCCAGTCCTTGTTAATCTGGGTTTCACCAGTGTTCCTGTGTGTAAACTGCCAAGTTTATTATCACTCTGAGCTTCCTTTGTGAGGAGACCTCTGGGGTATTTGTTACTGAGGTGCCTTTTGTTGCAAGGCTGTCCCTCCCAGTATTGCAAACACTCTGCTCTCAGTGGGGCAGTTTGCTACAGCTGCTGGGTGCTGGAAGCATCAAAGTCAGCAAGCACAGGAATTCTTGGGAAAAATGCTCCCTGAGGTGTGATAGTGAAAGWTTTCCAGCTCCTGCAAGCTTGGCAGATGGCTTTCCCTAGAACAAGTGGGATTACTCTGTGTTTGTGTTTCTTGAATAATTACAACCCATGATTCAGCCTGTTGGAATTGCCCTCCATCCTTCAGAGGTTKGTTGGGACTTTATCCTGTTCTGTTCCAAACTCTGTGTGTGTAGCTGTGGGAAAACTTAAGGAATTGATCTTGTGTGGCAGGAAATTCTTCAGGCATASTGGACAAGGTTCAGCAGTAGTTTCTCAGCAGGTACTGGTACAATCCTTGTTCTACATAAAACTGTTTGTGAGGGACTCTGGCTTTCAGTRCATTGTGTTAATATTGACTTCATTGCATGGCGTTGGAGTTTTCTGAGCTGGGTACTGCTCTGGGTGTGAAGGTGAGAGCTGTGGGCTGATGRAGACTTTCAAAAAGTTCTGCCTTGGAATTGGAATATAAAACAGGCACTTCAGCTCTTGTGGGGACAGTCCTGACACTAGGTGACCCCTCCTTTCATGCAYTGGGCTTTAAGAGGAGAGAATTTTGAGCTGAGCAGTTTCTGTCCCAGTCCCACTGTGGTGGAACCACATATTCAGAAATATCTGAATAAAGCAAATAAAAAGTTCATCATTTTCCCTGTAGGCAAGAGCACTAACTGTGTTGTTTCTCTTCTTTCCTTGGTTCAGAGATCACAAAGGACATCTCCATGAAGAACCTGAACATGAAGACCCTGTATGTCCATGTCATACCCACCACAGCTGAATGTTGAGAATTCCAGATTTGTGAAGAGACCATGCAGACATTTTTCCACACAAAGTGAAGTCAAAGGAAATTATTATGCTTTTAGATGAACATCCAAGTTGTGTATGGTACTTCTAACATCTCTAGTGGCACACAGGATGTTTTCTACCAGTGCATGTGTAATATGCTGCTCTTTGGTTTCAAATACAATGTATTTTCATTATGTTACCTTACAATGCTGTAAAAGCTGTTCAGAAACCTTAGATATCTATGCAGTAATTTGCCTGAGAGAAACGGGACTTGTACCTCAGTGATGCTGTTCTCTGCCTGTCCTTTGTGCAGAGGGCATCTTTTCTAAACCCTGGGTTACCTACAAGGCTCTCTGATGTATACCCACCATCCTACAACAGCTTTGTAACTTATTTAAGGGGTATCGGGATTTGTTCATTCATACTCGCTGGATTTTCATCAAGTGTGTGGCTGTTGATTTCAAATACTCCCTAATTTCAACACTTGGAACAATAAATTTGCTTCATCTCCAGACTCTTGCTTCCCTGAGTTCAGAGTACTTTGCTTCCTTAGGATTTCTGAGGAAGGCACCTGTTGGAGCTCYGGATGGATCAGAACACCCAGAGATGTCACTGAGATGTGACAGCTGAATGCCAGGGGCAGTTTGGATTGTGGTGCTGACAGCTTTGGGGGGTTGGTTTGCTCAGGGCTTTGGGGGAGAGTTGTTCTGATGCAGAAGCACTTTCAGACTGGAATTAGTTTGGGGTTTTGGKTTTTATAATACTCATTACGACTCGTCACCTGTTTCAGTGCTCACTTGTGTATCTGCAGGCAGGTGAAGGAAGAGACCACCTCTGCCAGTTTGGGGTGTTTTTGCCTGGTTCAGCTGGAGATTTAAGCACACCCTGGGGTAGGTGAGTGTGAGCCTTGGCTGTGCCCAGCCTGTGCTGCTGCCTGTGCTGCTGGGCCTCCCCGAGCTGTGGGTAATGGGACCCACACTGCAAACAGGGCTGCAGTAACAGCCTGGGAGAACAGAGCCTTGCTGAGCATGTTTTCCCCTTGCTCTGTTTTTCATCTTTGCATTATGAATAAAAACCAGAGCTTGTTTGTGATAACTCTGTGTTAGATGGAATAACTATAAATAACTGTTCTGTGTAACTCCTGTGCAGTAGTGGACTGTACCAAAATTGTAAGGATTTCTTTGAAGTGAATCAACTTCCTGGCACTCAGCTTACATAAAATTATTTTTATCAGTATTAAAAATGGCTGTGCCTTCTGAATCATTGGCCTGTTCAGGTTAATGAGTACTGGACATTGCCCTCTACTTTCACCTGGAAGTCAGCTGATTTTATATTGACATAGTGACATGGAAATCCAATTTGTATTGGTTTGTGGGGTTTCTTTGTCACATTAAAAAATCCAGGTTTCATCTTCTATGAAAGCAAGGTTGCTGTTCCTAAAGAAACTTTGCTTTATTATTGATGGAGAATAAAGGGAGATGGTAAATGATTGCAACCTAACCTCATTCTTATTGAGCYAGTCTAAGGTCCCAACATCGCTTGCATTTTTRAAGAGTGATTTGGGATTCACTCTCCTTTCTTCACTGCACACACTTCATTCTTCATTCTTATTTTTTTTCTCTCTGTGTGGTTGGTTTTGGTTTGGTTTTCTTTTTCCTGGTTGCTTTTAGTTTCTCAGCTGCAGCTTTCTATGCACTTCAGCATAGTCCTCATGGGTTGTGATGACTGGAACAGAAACCCAARTGTGTCCTGGTCTCCAGCCTGCTCACATCACAAGGATGGAAATGCCCATAGATGCWATTTCTGTCTGTACTAGGATCAGAAACTGGCAGAGAGGAAAATTCAATATACTTAGGGCAGGTAATGGAGGAACAAAACCAGGGTTTATCAGAGGACACTGCTGGAAATACTTCTGGGTCCATTAACTTTACATCAACATTTACATAAGTAGCATGTAATTAAAAAAAAATTTGTGGCAGAATTATAGTTTAATTTTCCTTTCAGCTGCCACTGTTGGATGGCTCTGATCTCTTGCCTCCAAAGCGGTGAACGTTAGGAATGAGCTGTGACCCATTTGGGTGAACTTGTGCTGTGTCTACCTTCCTTCTCCACATCCATTTTTAGTATTCTTTTTGTATTCTGGATAATATCTGATCATKGCTTGAGAGAATTTATCTCTTGGGATCTTGAAGTGGGGAATGTTTCCTAGTAATTTTTTTATTGAGGTTTCTTAATGCACTTCTATAACATTATCTAGGTTGGGCTAATAATAGTCTCTTGGCTTGATGTGATATTCTCCAGGATTTATGGCCTTCAATTAGCTTCCCTCTTAAATAGCTTGTTACACAAATGAGGTCCCAGACCACTGCTGCCTCTCTGCTTAGAGAAGCCACTCCCTGGGCCCTCACAGAGCTGTGTCACAGCTTTTGCTGTGCCTGTAGGAGTTTGGATCCTTGAGTGCTCATGCCTTCTGCTGGTGTCCCCCTGTTGCCTCTCACMTGCTGGCAGTCCAAATCCATTGTCATATCCCAAAAACACCGTGCTGGGGCTTAGSAAAATGGAGACATCTTGTCCCCCACCACACATGCAGAGTTGTGTCCCTCCCCATTTGCCCCCCTGGAGTCCTTGGGCCTGCCTTGAACTCCAAGTGATTTGCTCTCTGTCCCAGTTCCACCAGGTCRGGATTCTGTAGCTGATCCTAATTGGCACCTTGGCAAGGACAGGGCCTGGCACTGAGCAGGCCAGGAGGAAATCAGGCTTGGCTGAGAGCCAGCAGCCAGGCTCAGTGGCAGGATGGCAGCACGACTGCTCCCTGGTTCCTCAGGATCCAGCAGTGTGATCCATCAGTGTGAGCTGCACACCGGGGTCACTCCGTGCCTCCTGCAGGTCAAGGTTCAACAGCCCCACCTGCATTTCTGCCTTGCCTGAATGCAGGAAAAGCACTGACTGTCGGTGCCTTCTGCCTTCTGCAGGTGAATTCCAGACAGAATGGTTTCTCCTCATCGTGCAGTGAGTTGAGTCACAGCTGATGAACCTTTCAGCCCTTTTGCAGCTCTGAATCGTTCTGGTTTCTGTCAGCAGCGGTGGAGTTCAGTGTCCTCGTCATTACTGGTTAAGCACAAAGCAATTATTCAGTCTGTTAAATAATTTCTTGCTCTTTATCTGATTTCTTACAGGCTGGACTCTTGACACTGATGAAGCGGGTTGCTAGTGCACTGKCTGCAGCTGCATTCCAAAGGTGACCTGCAGAACAGCCTCACTGAGTTTCCTTGAGCATCTYCCTTCCCCTGCCTGAGCAGCACAGCACCATCCACGCACAGGCAGCTTTGCACTGCAAACACGTTTTATTGAGTTAATTTTATTCTTGCTGTGCTGTGACTGGTGGGGAACTGGGGTTGGAGGGAGGGACGGTCCTCATTTATCTGAGGTTTTCCCCAGTTCAAATGTTTATGTAACAAATATAATTATAGCTTTTATGTAATTGGGGAGGGGAAGGTTCCTATTTCAGTATGTCTGGGTATTTCAGTTAATTTCCAGTCTCTATCTGTACAAAGTTTTAATTAGGGGTCACAAAGCTCCTGAGAAGACTTCTAAATTTCCTCGTAGGTGGAATTAGAATAAAATTGCTCCTAAAGATATTTAATTTTTAAGACTTCCTTTGGCGTTTGGTATACATCATCCTAATTTTGCAATTTGTTCTAGTTGCCTTTAGTGTTCAAAACAGTGAAAACAGTTKAAATCTCCCAAACAAACAAAATGCACCCTGGCACTGAATATTTGCTGTGTTAGATCACGTGTGACAGCTGGACAGCTGTGCAGAAGGTRCTGCCATGGAATAGCATTTGTAGTCTGCCTGAAGGACAAATCTCCTTTAGTTTTCAAGTCAGCAGTTTTGCAAAGGTGAAGGCTATCAGAATGTGCAGCTGGGACGTGTGTTCTGTGATTAATAGTGCTGGCAACCCCCAAAATCACGGGATCTTTGGGAATTCGTTGCTTATGGRTGTCATACGCCTGGCAGTGCGAGTGGGAGGAGGGGAAGATGAGGCAACGTGGAAAAATTGAGGAGATCTTAGACTGCAAATCTCTCTGATGATACAATCTAAATAAGGATGAAGGATCCTGAATATTCCTGAAGACARTGTAAGATGGAAAAGAAAAATTGCTCATTGTGTCAAATGAAAGAGGCAAAAGCCAGGCTCAGGCTCTTGGAAACCAAGAGCTTTACAGCAAAGGGAGTTGCCACGGATTAGTGACTGAACAAGGACTAATAATTTCATATTCTTGCCAAAGAACACAAGTACCAAAAAAGCAAGTGCTGTGCTGCATAAACAGGATTGTCTGAGAGCCGATGAAGTAATCTTTSCACTCAGTTACTGATAAGGCTCCTCCTGCAGCCCTGTGCCCGATTTCGGGAACTCTGCATGAGGAAGATGTTGGCAGTTTGGAGGGAGGCCAGCGAGGAGAATCAGGAGTAAGGGCTGGCAAAGATGTCTTGTGGGGAAAGATTGGAAGAGCTGGCGTGTTTAGTCTGCAGCAGRGAAGACTGAGGGTGAGATATGATGAGTCTTCAATAAATAAATACTAATTGCAAAGCGAATAGTAATGAACTAGATTTCAAGAGGCTTGCAGGGAGATGGAATGGGAATTTAGGCCACACATGAGGAGGAGCTGCCTAAGAATTCATCTCTCCTTAGGATRGGTGGCCTGGGAATGTGACAGGATTTTTCTGACTCGCTTTTAAAATTTATTTTTTCACTTAAGGAARAGATAAATCTGAAAAAAACACTTGACAAATTTCAGTCTGTCATTAGCTCACCTATGAAAATTAGTGGATACAAGAAAAGAAACTAGTTGTTAGTTCTAAGATGTGTGTTTTTGTTTGGATATCAACAATAATGTGTTGATCATGTGGATCTGATCCCCTCTCTGGCACCCTGGGGCATCCTTAAGCTATTGGACATACAAGCCAGATGCACAAATGGATTTTGCTGGCAATATTTGGTACCTTCATGATTCTGTTGTTCACCTGGTGTTAAACAGCATCTGACTTAAACCAGCTCTGTAAGAGGAATCAAAGTGACAGGAATAGAGGCACAGAAAGGGGATTTAAACCCCAAAACAGCWTAGTTTGTATTTATTTCTATGGGTGATGGCTACTTGCCCCAAAGGCAGYGAGGAGGACGAACCCAAACTGGAACATTCAGCTCATACTGCAAATCCCTGGATGATAATAATAATTTGTGGACTTGSCAGGATCTTACTCCTGATCCTAATTCTCCAAATTAATTAGAAAAGTGTATGGGGTTCCCCTTTTTTAATGGTCTTTGTAAAAAATACCTTTCTCAGGTTGCTTTGCCCTTCTCTCAGGGACATAAACTCACAGTTCAATACTAACAGAGGAGATGAACTGGTAAACAGCCACAGGTGTTTCTATTTCCTCCACCCTAAAATTCAATTAAGGAGAAATTGAGTACCTCTTTGAGGAAAAAAGTCGCAGAGCAGCCATGTAGTGTGTCTSACAGCGTGGAGGTGTGGGGGTGTAAGCTCTGGTGCCATGGTACCAGCACATCTGCATTGACTTCTTTCAAGTGTACTGATGGGCAGGACTTGGATTCTTTTCTAACCTCTGTCTGCTGCTCAACTTTTTGAATTTTATAATGCTGAATGTTGGTTTTACAGAAGGCCTTGAACCTCTTCCCCTCCATGGCTGAGCCACTGCCCTGYAAAGCTGTGCTTTTGCTTTTAACACTTGTGTACATTAGCCAAAAAAACACTGGCTGTTTCAGGCTATATGTATTCCAAAGAGATACCTTCCTCTCCCTGAGCAAATCAGCAAAGAACCAGTAGAATCCATCATTTCAAAAATGRAAAAACCTGCAAAAAGATACTGCAAATAGAGACTTAATGGTCTGTGTCCAAATCACATTTTGCTGT